TGGACTGACCAGAGCTGTCAGGGGAATATGTAATTTTGTTATCGCAGGCAAAGGAAACATTAATATATTAAAAGCCCATCCTCCTGTTTAGATAGTACTGATAGTAACGATGAGGACCATTGCACATATATTGACGTAAAATGCAATTAAAAAGTACAAATCGGTACTATTAAATTTGGACAATCTTTATATTTTTTCATTATTAACTAATACACAATATGTTAATATTTACATCAATTTACAAGGAAAAATATTACATTTATATATAGTTTACATAATTCTCAGTAAACCAATTTTTCATATCATCACAGAGCATGAGCCGTAAGCCAAAAATGTTATACTAGATCCTGGACAAATTGGAAAAGTTTTTGTACTGATGTTGCAAAGAAAACCTAACGTAACCTAACCTTCTTAGGCGTAATTCACTCTCTCTGAAGCCTAATATAGTATATAAATGTAATAAACTAAGCCTAGGAATATTTAATAATTAGCTTCATTTTTTTCGGACTAAAATGTGAATAGGACTAAATTCTGCTAATTCTCTGAGCCATCTTTATACTTGCCTATACAATAGAAGTTAATACCAGCATAGTAAAATAATGTTAACAGCAGCTTAATCAAATATAAGTTAATACCAGTCTAATAAAGTAGATGCTTAGCCTACTTTGTTTTTAAAAGTTTTTGAAAACATTCACGTGATTTTCAGGAAAGCCGTGTCGCGTGAGGCTATGTAACGCACGTTCCACCAGTCTCTCTCTCTTCACCGTTCTCTCCTCTCCATTGTACGTTCTCTCTCTCTTTCTACTGCCAAGTGACTCACATCATGCGGTGTGAGGTGGGTGGGTTTATGAGAAGTCAGGCCTGGTCGATATGACGGAGGTGTCTGTCACGCACACACACGAACAGATGAACGAACACACGCACACGCACCCCCTTCCCCCCCCCCCACACACACAGGGTGAACTTGAAACAAAAAGCTCTACTGTATTTACCAGATTTAACCTAACAACCACGGTTTCTGGTGGCCTTCACTAAAATATGTATCGAAAGCAATCCAGCATTGTATTTGTCTCACACATCATAAAAAGTGGTCAAGGGTTAAGTTACGGAAGTTGAATAATATTTAAGCCGTGGGTATGGGATCTAGCCTAACCGGCTTGTGTCTGAAGATAGATAACAGCCCTGAAGACTTTACCTTATCCTGGTATTAAAGGTGTCCTAAATCTGGAAAGATTGTTATCACCAGACACAAAGCTAATGACAGATACTAACCTTGAGAGGTCGTTCAGAGTATAAATATCTTTAGTGTGGCAATATACTTCCGTAAGAAATGACAAACCCTGTATATATAAAGTCAGGGAGTGGGCCATTCAAGTCATTCATAGTGGGCCAGCCAGAAGCTTAGGGCCCGCGCAGGAATATCCCTGAAAAAAAGGAGTCTACTCACGAGTTTACATCTACTACTCGTCTGTAAACTACAAGAGAGGTAGCACGCTCGCCCCGCACCTTGTCACCAATTTTGGCCGGGTTCAAGTCTCAGGCAGGGAGAGTCAACTGGGCACCGATCCAAAACTGTTTTCCCTTGTTCACTCAGCAGTTATTGGGGACGTGGTTGTACACCAACTGACAGGTTGTGTTCCAGGGACAACTTAATAAGGCTTAAGACAAACAAAGGGAAGGGAAAGCTGCTAACGTCATTAGTAAGTAGTCTTCTGTAAAAAAAATGGGTAGTCTATCAGTCAGTAGAGCGTCGCATTTTGACGTATACTCTAAGGCCAAAAATCGTCGTACAAGAAATTGGTAACGGCTCGCGAAATTGACGTACTGTCCCGTTTTCTGTTTTTGGTCCTCTGGTAGGTTAGGATAAGGGCACTTAAGTACGACAGTTTCTTGACGTTAGGAAACCTTTGGAGGACGGGCTAGACGAAGAGAAGGCGAACGTATTGATGAGTGGCTGACTGACAGGATGTTGGTGGACGACAAAGTTAGGGATGATGGGCTTACTGTTTGATCATCTATCCGACAGATTGCCTTATTGACTGGCTGACGGGCACACAGATTGCCGTACTGACTGGCTGACAGGCACACAGATTGCCTTACTGACTGGCTGACAGGCACACAGATTGCCTGACTGGCTGACAGGCACACAGATTGCCTGACTGGTTGACAGGCACACAGATCAGCCCGTCCTCCTAAGGACGGTCAATTTTCACGTCAAGAAAACGGTCAATTTAAAGTGTCCTCTCCTAACCTACTAGACTAAGCCAGAGGACCCAAAACAGAAAACGGGACAGCACGTCACTTTCGCGAGTCGCTTCCATTTTCTAGTACGATAATTGTTGGCCTTATGTAACGGATCCGAGCGAAATGCGACGTTTTGTAGGAGGACAGGTTGTGCAGATTGCCTTACTGACTGGCTGACGCATGATCTCAAAGACCAGTTAGATTACTTTCTGACTGTCAAGAACTCACCACCAACTTCACGTGAAAATAATTTGGTGGTTCTTGCTTTTGAAGGACAGAGGTCGTTACTATTATGACTGCGACACTGGTTCCAGGAAATGTGTGTGTGTGTGTGTGTGTGTGTGTGTGTGTGTGTGTGAGAGAGAGAGAGAGAGAGAGAGAGAGAGAGAGAGAGAGAGAGAGAGAGAGAGAGAGAGAGAGAGAGAGAGAGAGAGAGAGAGAGAGAGAGAGAGAGAGAGAGAGAGAGAGAGAGAGAGAGAGAGAGAGAGATAGAGAGAGGGGGGGGGAGGGAATCAGTTAAATTAAATACACAACCAAAGGTTAGAAAAGCGGGGTCCAAGAGCTAACAGCTCGACCCTGCAAGTACAAATAGTAAATACACACACAGGTGTATTTACAAATACACAGGTACAAACCCACACGCATATGCGGTTGACTTCCGGCCAAGGCAGAAATAAATGGCCAGTTTCCTTGACCTGATGTCCATGTTCACCCAGCACTAAACAGGTATCTTGGGAGTAAACACCTGCTACGGGCTGCATCCTGGGGATGCATGTATGTGTGGTTGTTGTTGTATGATGGAGGAAAAAATACATCGGGAGTCAATACATTAGACCAGCGTTTTTTATTTTTAATTTGAAAATAGTGTTTAAAAATAAAAAAAATTGTGTCCTCATCGAGGCCACTAGAGTGTTAGAGGCCCTAAGGTAAATTCAGGTAAAATGCGGATAATTTTTATATTTTATTTATATATACAAGAGATTTTACATTCTTGTAAAGCGTTCCGCGAGCACTTTGTCATGGGTTCGTATCCTGGCCGGGGAGGATTTACTGGGCGCAAATCCTTAACTGTAGCCTCTGTTTAACTCAACAGTAAAATGGGTACTTGGTTGTAACAACGGTTCTTCGCGGCGGGGATCGTATTCCAGGGACCTGCCTGAAACGCTACGCGTACTAGTGGCTGTACAAGAATGTAACAACTCTTGTATATATCTCAAAAAAAAAGTCACTAGCACGCATAGCGTTTCGGGCAGGTCCTTAAACCTAATCCTCTAATGAGAATAACACCGACGCCCAAGGAGGTCGACTCAAGACTGCAGGGTAGCCTAGGAGAGCGACTCGACAGTGCAGGGCAGCCTAGGAGAGCGACTCGACAGTGCAGGGTAGCCTAGGAGAGCGACTCGAAAGTGCAGGGTAGGCTAGGATGACAAAACAATTTAGGGTAGCCTAGTGGGAGGGGGCGACTAAACAGTGTAGGTTAAGCTACGGAGGGAAATCGACTGAATAGTGCAGGGTTGCCTAGGGAATTGACTGAAGGATGGGGGGGAGGGGGGAGGTGAGGGATGATTCAATACCGTAGTGGAGGCGGGAGACCGACGCAATGCAGGGAAACTCACATTCTCACGTCTTATAACAGTAAACCCGCGCCGTGACTGCGGTTTCCAACTCCCTCATGACGAGCCGCCATAATCTCCCGACTCATAATTTCCTCTTTGTTGTTGTTTTAGATTCAGCAACTCGGAAGAAAAAGTTCCAAGCAGCACGGGCTATGGTAAGCCCGAAGTGGACTTACATGGCACAGGAGATGTGCCCGCCCGTTCCTCTTGGGGTTTTATTGTTCTTATTAATGTCCCCCAAGAGCCTCGTCACACCCTCCCTCCATCTGTTCCGAGTGAAGGACAAGGCGGCCGGGCAGCAGCTGTGTTGACGTGTCACAGTTGCTGAGGCTACTGAAGGGTTCACCTTGCTCCTGCAGAGGCCACCTCCCCACTCTTGCCACATATCGCCAACTTCCTCGTCTCCTGGACCGATAATCTTGAATCATTAACCATCTCAAGGAGGTTTGCTGACTGATACGCCCTCTGTTTTTATCTTAGCTTTAATATTCCTCGTTTTGAAATATAACTAAAAGACGACTTGTGACGTGGTTCCAAAATTGTCAGTACAATTCCAATGTGTGAGAATTATTGAGGTTTGTTAAGGTAGACAAGTTCAAGTACGTTTTTTGAGACAATTAAATATATCACAAAGGGATAGAGTAGCTTAGGCTATTTCTACCCCACAATTGAGACAGACTGACTGTAATTAGTGACCATTGTGTTGATGTTGACCCTCTAGGCCAAGAACGAAGTATAACTGCATGTTGTGTATATACATATTATGGAGAAGGGAGGATCAGTGTTACTTTTTACCTCTTACACAAGTTTTAACATCTGTATAATTTTGTTGTTGTATTATATTGTTTTAACTGCAGCACTGCTAATATCAGCGTTCAGTTGTTATGAACGACGTTTCTAGTTTCGCAAGTTATGTGTGGTTGTTTGTGTGTGTGTAATGATGGGGCTGTTGTGATATCTTTACCATCACGTATATTAATCAATCTCGGGTAAGTTACTTCATTTCACTACACCCCGTTCATAGGCGCTGTGAGGCTTTACTGAACGAAACGTTATGGGAAGGGAACGAAGAAGGGAGGAAAGTTGTGAGGGGTGAGTGCATGTGTGCGTTCCCATCACCCGGTTAGTCCGTCCCCTCACTCTGCCGCAGTCCCGTGTCTCCCCTCACACACACACTCTCCCCCTTCCATCCCTCTCCTTTCCATCTCAACTGCAGCCGCAGGCCTCCTCTCCCACCATTACCCCTATTCCACTAGACCTGGCCTCCCCTCTCCCAGCCCGACCGACCCACACACACCAGCCTCACCTCCCCTCATTTCAACCACTGGGACGCATGCGTGTGCAGTCAATGAGTGCAACAGACACACTGCAGAGGTGCGGGCGTCACAGCACATGGTGGTGGGGGGCCGGGCCATGTGCTACCGGTGAACGGGTGCTCCTTGGCGGTTATAGAGGTGCTCCTTGGCGGTTATAGAGGTGCTCCTTGGCGGTTATAGAGGTGTTCCAGCCTGCCTTAGTCCTTCTCCCACAGGGGAACATCACTGTAGTGTCTTGCAGGCGCTTCGTTCAACACAGGTGCAGGGTTAGCCCTTGTTGTCTGTTTAACATGTCAACAGACATGTTAACACCGTTAATGTGACAGTCAACACCGAGCCGCTGTGTGTCTTAACAGGTGTTGGACAAATCCCAGTGACATAATTGCGTGTGATATATGTTGGAGATGTAACGTACGGTTGTATATTTAACGAGTGCTGGCCAATACCCAGATATATATTTAACGAGTAATAGACAATGACATATTTAACAAGTGATGAACAGTAGACAGTCAAATATTTAGTAAGTGCTGGACAGTAGACAGCTGTATATTTAACAAGTGCTGGACTAGACAGCTGTATATTTAACAAGTGCTGGACTAGACAGTGAGATATTTAACAAGTGATGGACTAAGCACATTAAGCATAGTCGTGCACAAAGAAATCACATTAACATGATGAATCAATGAGAAAATCAGTAGGAGCCGTGATTAGGATTCGAACTTGCACACTGAGTACTCCCAAACCCAAGCCTTAGACCACTTCCCCACCACATGCTCCAAGAACAATGCAGCCTAGGATTCAACTGAATCCTCTAGGGTTCCCGAGGCTTCCACTGAAGCCAAGTCAAGGTTTCACACTTTGCCCGTATGCACGTTAATGTGATTTATTTGTGCATTTGAAGAAAAGCGTTGTAGGTCGAGCTCCTGGACCCCAGCCAGCATGTTCGCGGGAAATATGTGAATGAGGACCCCTACTAGAGTATTTAGTTGAATTCCCGGTTGCATTGCTTTGCAACATGTCGTGGTGAAGAGGTCTAAGGCGTATGCTTGGAAGTATACCCCCGTGTGCAGGTTCGAATCCACTTTATGGCTCCTACCAATTTTCTCAAGCGCAGTTGTGTTTTGAATCAGTCTTGCACGCCCTGTGTTCGTATGTTTTAGCTACTGTATACTACGCCTGACCCCTCAATCAACTGTACAAACCTGGAGAATCAGTCAATGGTGATAAATGTATATAGATAAATGTATATAGGATAAATGTATATCTGCAACACGTGTCCCACTGTTACCCTCGGGGGTGGAGGGGGGGGGGCAAAAGTGTTTCGGGAGGCGACATTCATTTGTCACGCGACATTTACCTTCCAGCAGGACATTGGTGGCTAGTGTGACATTTGGGTCTGGGCTGCGTGGGTCTGGCCCGGAGCGTGGGAGGTGAGATTCAGCAGCGCTGGACGCGAGTGGTGTAGCTCTGGCTAGCTGTTTAGTGGCCCCTGAGTCGCTACCCTGCAGTGGTGGATTGATTATCGCGACAGAAACGTTCAACCAGCCACAGTTTGCCATTGACAATGAGGTTTCTTTGTGAAAAGTGCAGTTTTCAGCAATTGCCATACATCCCGCTGACCATGTGAAGTCGTATACTAATCAATAAGCTTCGCTGTGGCCTCAGAGCATGACTCCAGCCGGACCCAGCGGGAAGAAACAGGGTTCTCCTTGCCTGTTGACTCTAGAGTGACTCCCACATGGGGGCTAACACCAACGAGCCAGTTACCTGACCATAGGAAAGGATAGACTAGGTCGGGGAGCACAGAGGGTAGCTTGTCGCAGGTTGGTCGTGGGGCTGGCTGTGGAACAGGTGGTGGGGCTGGCTGTGGAACAGGTCGTAGAGCAGAACGTGAGATAAAACGTGGAACGTCCTGGAGGGAGGACATGAACTTCAAGTTGGTCTGGACGCCGTGAGCGGACGCGGGGACTCATATCAGCGCCATGCCGCGACCGTCGTACGCCAGGGTGAGGTGAGTATTCTCAGTGTAAGCGCTCACGATGTTTACATCGTGCGTGTTTACTACTAAAAAGAAAGTTTACTTTCGCACGATGTATCAGTGTAAACTTATTACCAAATTATATTTTCAGATTAAAATCACTTCCTCTAGAAATCACAGGCAACTTGAAAATATTTAAGATTGAAACATTTAAGATTCACATCACCTAAAAATCATAGCTGGTCTCAGACATCGTAACACATGATCACTTCTGGATCCAAGAGCTAAAGCTCGATCTTGTAATTAAAATTGTGAGGGGAGGGTTTGGGGGAGACCGGGGAATTGGGGGCGTGGGCGTCTGACAGTCTGCGAAGAGTTTTGTGGTTTCCAGTTTCGATTCTTTTGACCATGTCGGTGGCTTTTTGATTGATTTCATATTGTTGCCGTCAGCGGCTGCTAGTTTATTGTCAGCTCCGTACTCACCTAATTGTACTCATCTAATTGTGCTTGTGGGGGTTGAGCTTTGGCTCTTTGGTCCCGCCTCTCAACTGTCAATCAACTGGTGTAGTGGTAGTTTATTGTACACTTACAGCCTATTATTACGCCACTCTCCCCCCCTCCCCCCTCCCCACATCAGCACAGGTCAAGGAATACATCAGTGGGCCGGTGGCCGAGCGGACAGCACGCTGGTCACATGATCCTGTGGTCCCGGGTGCAATCCCGGCCGCCAGCGAGAAACAATGGGCAGAGTTTCTTTCACCCTATGCCCCTGTTACCTAGCAGTAAATAGGTATCTGGGGAGTTAGTCAGCTGTCACGGGCAGCTTCCTGGTGTGTGTGTGTGTGTGTGTGTGTGTGTGTGTGTGTGTGTGTGTGTGTGTGTGTGTGTGTGTGTGTGTGTGTGTGTGTGTGTGTGTGTGTGTAATTACCTAAGTGTAGTTACAGGATGAGAGCTACGCTCGTGGTGTCCCGTCTTCCCAGCACTCTTTGTCATATAACGCTTTGAAACTACTGACGGTCTTGGTGTGTGTGTGTGTGTGTGTGTGTGTGTGTGTGTGTGTGTGTGTGTGTGTGTGTGTGTGTGTGTGTGTGTGTGTGTGTGTGTGTGTGTGTGTGTGTTGTGTGGGGAAAAAAATAGTAGTAGTAGTTAGAAACGGTTGATTGACAGTTGAGAGGCGGGCCGAAAGAGCAGAGATCAACCCCCGCAAGCACAACTAGGTGAATACATCAGTGTACACAAACCCATCACACTAACGTGGTGATATACGTATCAGTGAGATCAAGAACCAGGGAACAAGGAACTCCCAGCGGCACACCTTACCCCTGTACCACGACTTGTTTACCTTATACCACGTCAGTTACAGCGCCACTCCTGTGCCAGGTAAGTCCACTACGGGCTCACCATAGCCCGTGCTACTTGAAACTTTTCATACCCAGTAGCTGAATCTAAAACAACAACATTATTGTAGAGATGTAAGGTGCGCGGCTGGGTTCCAGTCGCCTCATTGATCCAATTGATTTTCTCAAAACAATAGTGATGTAAAGGTTTAGAATAATTATAGGAAAAGAAAGACGATGCCACCGGTTCAAACAGGTGTAATGTAAACTAGTATACCAAGAATGATCTATTTACAAAAGAAAATAATCTTAAGAGCACAAACGTGTAGTTAAGGTGGTCCTGGGTTCGATCCCAGGCGCCGGCGAGAAACAATGGGCAGAGTTTCTTTCACCCTATGCCCCCTGTTACCTAGCAGTAAAAATAGGTACCTGGGTGTTAGTCAACTGTCACGGGCTGCTTCCTGGGGGTGGAGGCCTGGTCGAGGACCGGGCCGCGGGGACACTAAAAAGCCCCGAAATCATCTCAAGATAACCTGAAGATAAGAAGAAGGTGGCGGTGAATTAATCAGCTCTGCTAAGAGAGGAACCGTGTGATAGGCACCATGACCCAGCGATGGTTATTAGACAAAATACAGTTAGGAGACTCGCTGGCAACACCACCATCCATTTATGGAAGAATTCCCATTAATATTTCAACAAGCTATTTATAGGCAATAATTAATGACGTCAGTACTCAGGAACTGTTAACAAATCCGTGTTATCCGAGACTGTTAACAGTCTCCGTGGTGTAGTGGTAAGACACTCGCCTGGCGTTCCGCGAGCGCTATGTCATGGGTTCGTATCCTGGCCGGGGAGGATTTACTGGGCGCAAATCCTTAACTGTAGCCTCTGTTTAACTCAACAGTAAAATGTGTACTTGGTTGTAACAACGATTCTTCGCGGCGGGGATCGTATTCCAGGGACCTGCCTGAAACGCTACGCGTACTAGTGGCTGTACAAGAATGTAACAACTCTTGTATATATCTAAAAAAAATCAAAGGTGTCACTGACAACGTCATTAAACTGCTGTACTAAATTGCCCGTTCCTAACCTGGCAAAAAAGGATAGACCAGTTCCACTAGCATCAAACATAATAAACAGTTATTAAAAGAGTGATTAGCAATCATATCTCTAGTTTTATGGAAAACAATGTACTTCCACAACATGGAGATAGAGCGGGAAGATCCTGTCTGTCGCAGTTACTCAATCACTATGACAAAATCACAGAAGCATTAGATGAAAACACAAAATGCAGATGTTATGTAAACAAACTTTGCAAAGGCATTCGACAAATACCATGGTGTGATAGCCCATAAAATGAGATCACTGGGAATAACAGGTAAAGTGAGGCGTTGTATTGTCAACTTTGTCAAGGCAAGGCAATTATCAGGGGAAAGCGCCAAGCCATTACGACTGTATAGCACTTGGAAGGGGTCAGGATTAGGATTTGGGATGGGACGGGGGAAAGGAATGGTGTCCAACCGCTTGGACGGTCGGGGATTGAACGCCGACCTGCATGAAGCGAGACCGTCGCTCTACCGTCCAGCCCAAGTTGTTGGACTCAACTTTGTCAAACAAAATTTAGAGTAACAGTCACATAAGATCAAGTTCAAGTGCAGTGAAAAGCTCTGTACCCCCAGGGGCACAGTCCTTGCAACGCTGCTATGTCTCATTCTTATTTCGGATATAGACAAAAATACTAGTGAAAGCTTCGTGTCATCCTTTGCAGATTATACAAAAATTACCAAGAAAATAATTTCGTCTGTATAAGACCCTGAAAAACTACAAACCGATATAAATAGTCTTTGATTGGGCAACTGAAAATAACATGATGTTTAACAGTGATAAGTTCCAGGTACTTAGGTGTGGTGGAAACGAAGAATTTAAACGAAATACACATAAGGAAAAACAACATGTAAAAGATCTGGGAATTGTGATAACTGACGACCTGACATTCAGTAAACATAATCGAGCAAATATAGCGGCGGCGGCCAGGAAAATTAAAGAATAGATTATGAGAACGTATCCATGAACCCCACAACAATGCTAACACTATTTAAATCGTCTTAAGTATTGCTAGGTACTCGCTTTCCCCTTCAGAGCCAGGTCCGGGTTCGAGTCACTTCTGTAGACTAACAGATGTTGTCACAGCTCGTATAAGACTTGGCTACAAGTATCTCTGGCAGTTCGGCTTGTATAGGGATCTAGATGAAGTAAAGTGTAAAGTGTGTGGACATAGGCAGGGACACACACTCGAACATTATATCTTGGATTGTTGTAAAATTGAGCCTTTTAGAGATAAGTCTAGGCTCACTCTGTATGATATGGCAACCTATCTTATTACCATGGATAAATTACCTGAAATCCTTGCACTGTACCCACATTTTGCTTCCAGTAGATGAACGACATATGAGATTCAGAAACAAGTAGTGTATTGTGAGGACTAATAATAAACAGAAGCTCCCTATGACTCTGTAATATCCCCATTGGCCAAACTATTATGTATTAACGATAAGACCTACCATTAATGTATGATGACTTACTGTAAATATGTAGCTCTTGTAATAGCACTTTCTCTGTAACTAGCTGACATTGTATCTATAAGGTGTGAAGGATTGAAGAAATTGTTTATGTAATAATCTAAGATGAGGTCTGATAAAGACCTTTTGTGCCCTCTGTAATGCTTTTGCGCTACCGCTCACAGGATGAGTATGGGGTGCACAATAAACTAGCCGCCTTCGGCAGCAACAATCAAATCAATCTGGGGTGTGGAGTTTTCATTCGTATATATGCTTGGGGACCATTCAAGCTTGTTCGCATTTGTGTTGCTCACGTGGCCCCATAAAAATGAAGTGATTTGATGGAATTACCTCCCCCTTCAGAGCAGGAGAGATTTTTTAATTAGAGGGAATACAGAGAACATGTACGGCACGCATAGACACTATAAAACATCTCAATTATTGGGACCGTCTCAAAGCTCTCAAAATGTACTCTATGGAAAGGAGACGAGAAGGGTATCAAATAATATATACTTGGAAGATACTGGAGGGCCAGGTCCCAAGTTTGCACAGTAGAATAACAACATACTGGAGCGAAAAGTACGGAAGGAAATGCATAATAGAATCAGTGAAGAGTAGAGGTGCCATAGGCACAATCAGAATTTGAACATCAGGGGGGTCCACGGCTGTTTAGTATCCTCCCAATACTCCAAGAAGCATTAAAAATATTGCCGGAACAAATGTGGAAGTCTTCAAGAAGCATTTAGACAGGTTCTTGCAAGAAGTGCCGGACCAAGCGGACTGTAGTGGATATGTGGGCCTGCGGGTCTCTCCAAGCAACAGCCTGTTGGACACAAGTCGAGTCTGGCCCCAGGCCGGGCTAGGAAAGTAGAACTCCCGAAACCATTTTTAGGTACGCTCTTGGTACGAAATCACGTAAATTTTGCTAGCCGCTATCATTTTTAGTACATCAGTTTTTGCCCTTAGGGAAATTATTCGTCAAAATGCGATGACGATTCAGGAGAGCGAATTGTTCAACTCACTACTTAACCGAAAAACACTAAAGAACTTAACTAAAATTGATCAGCCATGACGCAACAACCTCCTCTAGTGGAGTCCAGAAAACCTCTGGTGATTGTAAAGTCAGTGAAGACCTGCT